CATACTACAACACAATGAAGAGGTTTATTTCAACTCATCATTTCACTGCACGGGATGCTGACCCCACTGCACAAATAAGGGAGGGACATTTCAAAGGAAAACGTTCTCAAGCCAAGGCAGCCAGGAAACAGGGAGGGAATGGAGCTAGAAACAAGCATACTCTTTGATGTCACAGCCCGAATGACTTACCTACAGCCAGGCTTCGCCTCCGAATAGCACATTCAGCTACTGAACTGAACTCATGAGTGCATGGGTCCACTGATGAGTAAGCACCCTCACAATCCAATCACTTTCCACACGTGACACTTTGGGGCCACTTTATATCTGAATGGTAACAGGAGCTAATCTTGCAACCTCCTTCAAAATCTCAGTGATGTATGTGCTTGTATCCCACATAGACTAGGAAATGGCAATCTGGACTTCTACCTCAAGGGAGTTTAACTTAATTCAATGTTTTTGCTGAGGTGCTGTACATAGTATCCCACAAGAAACTACTCTCATGCACACACCCAGCCTCAGCTTATTGTGTTTCATCTGTGATACTGTATTCTAAAACAGGAAATCAAACAGTGTTCGGAACATAATAATGTAATAGATGTTGCTGAATGGGCTAAATGTAGAGATAACAGCATACAGAATCATTAAATTTTGAGGACTTGTTTTTTATTTTCTCATTCTGAGAAGAGAAAAATAGACCAATAAGTAAATAGGTGAATGAATGAACAACAGTTCAGGGGCCTGAAAGACAGTAGCAAAAGATGTGTTCAAATCACTGGGCTTCCAGAGTGAAAAAAAAAAAAAAAAGAACAGGACTAAAAAATACTTTTAAATCATGATTTGTATAGTCAGCAAATTTTAAGCTTCCTAATGTAAAGTAATTTTGTGTAAAAATTGTGCATTTTTACATTCAAATATAGTGAGACATTTTACTCGACAGTGATATTTATAATGCTAAAATCTTCATAAACTGTAACTTTTGGGGATTGACTTTGGCATTTGAGAGCCTCTGCATCATTTCTATTCTATTTCTATTCTTTTGTTCACAACCAGAAAGCCCTAGAGGCTTGCTTTGCTAATCCCTTCGGCAGCTCCAAACAAAACAAGTGGTCACTCCATCTTGACTGTAGAGAAAGGAAGCATCTAACAGTTCTTTTCTTATAGAACACCACTTCTGACGATGACAGGTTTCTCATCATCATCTAGAAGAGACAGTAAAACATAATTTTAATGTTTGCTAAAATAAATAAAAATGTTAACTGCAAATTCGTTGAAGTATTCCTCAGATTCTGCAAATACTTTTCCAGCACAAAAAACAAGTAGAGACATGCTCCAAGAAAACTGAGAGCACTTTTTCTAGCAAATTTAACTTTAAAATTGTTATATAAAGTTCTAGATAGAGCATAAATTAGAAGAGAAAAAAATGTGAAACAACTTAATGAAAGAAAAGCTATATTAATGGGAATATGAAATTAAATGAAAAGTCATCTTGTAAAATCTGTATTCTTATTGTTAAAACAAGAACCGTTCTGCACTGTAACATTAATATCAATAAATTAGGCGTGTATTTTAAGTATAGTGGTGCCTCGGTTCAGGGATGCTTTTGTTCACAAAAGTGCTTGGTTTTGTTTCCAAACTCTACATCAGGTGACAGGATTATCTTCCTCACACAAACAGAAACACAGCCTTCTTTTCCAAAATCGTGAAACAAAGTAAATTTGTGAATCAAGACACTACTTGTATGTGTGCATGCTTCTGGTTGAAAATTTGCATGCCAGAGGAATAAAAATGAAAGAAAAGTTAATATAAACAAACAAGGTTCTATGTGAAAATTCAACACAATTAAAGACATTTATCTAAACATAAATTTTCTAGTACGTGTGCATGCTTCTGGTTGAAAATTTGCATGCCAGAGGAATAAAAATGAAAGAAAAGTTAATATAAACAAACAAGGTTCTATGTGAAAATTCAACACAATTAAAGACATTTATCTAAACATAAATTTTCTAGTTTTCTCACAATTCTAACTAAAACTTAAATGCAAAGATTTTTAAAATTTCTAAAGAAGTCTTATAACCTTTGCTTCATATTAGAGCTCTGATGATCTGACATATGAAAATGCAATAGACTTCTATTTAAGGTAAGAGTTTACTAAATTAAACTATAAAATTTTAGATATGGCCAACTATAAAGAAAAGATTAATGGTGGCTAAAGGGTGACTTAGGGTAGAGAGGTAAAGGAGGCAATGCTTGGGCTGAGTTTGAAAAGGTTTTCCCTGAAATGAGATGTCTGAGAGTTTGATGTAGGGATAAAAAAGGAATGTAGAGTTATTTGAGCTATGAAAAGAGATACACATATTAATCCCATGGTAAAATATCTCTATATAAGGCAGAAGATTTGGCTCATGATAAATTTTTTGCCATTTGCAGTATATATGTTGTATTTGAAACCTTGATTTATAATGAAATCAGTAGTAGAAGCACTAGACTCTAGACAGTAGAAAAAATAAGCAAAAAATTCGAAGAAAAGACAACTTTATAAGGACAAACAAAGGACAAAAAGAAGCTGGAAAATGAGACTGTTTTCTATAGGCATACAAATATACTTTTGTAATTTATGATAGAAAAGAAATTAAATGTATTTAGAATTCTGCTATAGAATTCAATCATGTTTTAGAAAGTATTAGTAATTTGTACTGAGTTATAACTATTTATACTAGTAGTAAGCATTTTTAGATAGCAATGATCAGTCACCTATTTGAAGGCAAGGTTCAGTCAATATGTTTGTGATAGAGGCGATTTTTATCAAGTTTTGTTTTGTGAGTAGTAAAATAAAATTATGGAAAATATAAAAGCATCATTCATGCTTCAGAAACAGAGTTGGAGGAGCACAACATGGGTCCATGTTTTATTTAGTAGACATAATACATTATTCTCACAAGAGAAATAAATGACAGATTTTAGCTCAGGTTAGGGACAACATATATTTCAAACCAAAAATTGTGTGCATTATAGCTTATCCTGGATATTCTTACTGCAAAATACAATAACCTTAAAAGAAATTTCATGTATTTACTTATGAAGGATATATGGAAATTCTTATGAGACTATCAAATATTATATTTAAGTTTTACCTCACTTATGATTGCAAAATACTATTGAAAGTATATCAGAATTTCATGTGAACTCCTCCTGGGTATTTTTAACAGAAAGTGCTAAAGCTGGGATATAAGAGTTTTAAAACCATTTTTCACATTTTATTTGCTATCTTATTTCTTGCTCTGATAAACTGCTAACAAATAACTATGATACTCATTCCAAGAGTAACTTTCAAAACCAGTTGCTTTTTGATTTATCGCATTGAACATACCCTAGTGGTAAGAAGCTATATTTCTCTAGTCAGAACTATCCTTTTTGGAGAATTTGATTGAGAAGATGTTGAAAGATCTTTCCACTGATTAAGCAGAGTGCATAAAATCTTTATCATGGGAGTCTTTTTCTTGGACATAAACACGATCTTTAGGAAATGGAGCAAAAATATGCAAATGATAGAGAAATTCTGATAATATTCTAGATATCATTTATATGGATCAACAATATAGTTTCCTACTTAAGTACATGAATAATATAATAAAAAATAAAGATTTGGGGGGAAGGCTAAAATCTCAATTAGTAAGAAAGTTAAGAGACTAAGAATGTGGGACTAGAAACTTAGAACTGTGATTGAAGTGTATGTGTATGGTTGGGGCTCAGGGCCGTGAGATGGCATGGGAATGGATAGGGCAGGGCAGCAATACTGAAATTTGGGGGATAGAGAAATGCTTATTCCATATATATATATATATATATATATATATATATATA